GTGCCGGGAACCCAACCGCCACTGTGAACTTTCACCACTGTCGCGTCGCCTCACCCTGCCCCCACGCAGGCCACCATGAAGCCTCTCACCCCATACCGCTCCTCGACGATCTATATCGCGGCCGCCCCGCCCCCTCCAAGCTGTGATGTAGGGTAGAACCCTAACGGCCCGATCTTTCACAAAAGGAGCCGATCCCACGAATAACACGAAGAACACGGGGGGGGGGGGGAAGGAGAGAAAACACAAGGGGAAACACTCAAGAACAAGTCCAATCACACATCCACTAGACAATCAAACACACAAGATCCACAAGGTACATGAACAACAACGGGAAAGATACAAGGTAGAGTTCATCTCCGTGAGGAGGTCTTGAGGGGGGCCACCCAAGAGGGGGTCTTGAATCCGCTTGGGAGGATCTTCTCCGAGGAGGCACGATCTCCGTGGAGAAGGTAACCAAGTGGATGAGCAAAGCTCTCACACAAACATGAGCTAATCCTTTGCTGACCCTAGAATGGAGGAGGGGGTGAGTATATATAGTAGCAGCCGCGAAGGGGTAAGTGAGGGGCGAATGGGTACATGGGCCTTGGCCCGAGTCTCTGCGCGCAGGTAGGGCCAGAAGTTCCGGGGACGGCCGGAAGGTCCGGGCGCCGGAGGTTCCGGGCGAAGGTCCGGGCAGGGTCCGGGCTATCTAGAGAGTTGGCACACTCTTGGACGGCTTCGGTGCAGCAGGGCCGGAAGCTCCGGAATGGCCAGAGGTTCCAGTGGCCGGAAGTTCCGGGCAGCGGCCGGAACTTCCGGGCTTTCCAGAAACATGTCCACGCTTCTTCTTCCTTCTCTTCCACGCTTCCCTCGCGGATGGTGTAGTTGTTCCTTGGCGCTTGCACTCCTCCTCGACATTAGTGAAGCTCCGACAATACCTATGCATGCACACGGGAGGAGTGTCAAGTAGTATACCATCCTCAAGAGGGTCAAGTGAACACGTGTAAAGGAGATGATTCACCTTTGTGTATGTGAAGTAGATGTCGCACGTGTCACTTCACAAATGAACTCTTGACATGGTGATGTCTGCATCATCCCCTCCCCCTTGGGAAAGATCCGACCTCGGATCGAAATCTAAATCACCGTGGGAAAGAGATGGCGTCGCCGTGTAGAAGTGGTCGATCACCAAGTTCTCGTCATCTTGAAGCTTGAAATGGGCACTCTCCAATGTCGCACCGTCTCGTGATTCCTTCAAAAGGAGCAAGGAGAACAAACACTTGAAAAAACAAATGCAGTTAGCGTTAGTGCAAAACCAAGCATTCAAGAGGTGATTCACCCAACAAGTGTTGTCATCAAGCATAGCATATGGTGTGACAAAGGATTGTGACATGGCATGTAAGCATAGAAATTGAGCACAAAGAAGGACATCATGGAAACAAGCATGTAAATGTGAGGTAGTGATGCAAATATGTGTAACAAGAGAAGAAGCATCAACCTCACGGTCATAGCGATCATGCATAAAGCGCTCGACAAATGGTCGATGGTAGGCATAGGAATCATTCACAACACCAAGTAAAATGAAGTGTCTAAACACATGGGTCAAGTGCAAGACAATCCAAGCATAATGTGCATATGGTGTAGTGAAGATAGTATGGCACTCACAATAGAAAGAACAATTGTTCATCATATGTGAGGCAATCAAGACAAGCATGTAGCAATCAATGGTACATGGCATATGTGAAGTGATGACATTGTTGCAACCAAACATGTGAGAGGAACAAATAATCCAAGAATTTGATGCAACACACAAGGCATATATATCATGATGCATGGAATGGTGAAAATGACAAGTCGAAGCAAGATCTCTAACATGTGTGCAATCAAGTGGTCCAAGATGAACAATAAGTCTCATGGGGCAAGCAACACAAGTAGTATGATCCATAATATCCATGATCATGGTTTGGGGGTTCTCAAAAGAGAAGGATATCACCTTGAAAGCATGTCCTTGTGCATTCTTCACAATGCCGAAGCACAAGCAAGTGCAGTGTAGAATCGTCGTGGTAGAAGGTGGTTCGCTCTCAGGAGCTCGGATTGTCAACTCACGTGACGTGGAAGTTGACACAAGGTCCAAGTATCCTACACATGCACACAACAAAACAAAGAACATATGCGCATGGTAGATAAACACATCATCCATCATGATGGTTCTCTTCTCTTGCACATAACTATTAGAAGCACAAGTGCATGAACAATATGATGCAACAATGGCAATATTCATGGCATGAGGTATATGGTGCAAAGAAGGAAGACAAGCATGCTTCACAAAAAATATGTCAAAATCTCCAAATATATGCGAGAATGCTATGGGGGCAATCTCATTAGGAAGACTAAAATCATGGTTGCACTCAATACATGGAAAATCATCTAGCATGAGAGAGGCAACATATATATGGCGATATATGACGGCAAGCAATAACAATCATGTGCAAAGCATGTAGATGGTTGTCATCAACCGCATGAAGTGAGAAAGTATGAATCATTGGTGATGCAACAGAAGCAAGCATAGTAATCAAGTCATGCAAGCTAGTAGTGCGAAGATGCAACATAATAGAGTAAATCATGGCAATCATGTCATGAGAGCAAATAATAGGCATAGGCAATGCACATGACATATCGCAAGCACGAACACAAAGCAAGATCATAGTATCATCACAGGGATGGGTCACAAAGCAAACATGGCAATGACAAGTGATATCTCCACCAAGCTTGCAAATACATATAGTATGAGAATCAATCATCATGTGTAATGCAAAGCATGGGTCACAAATGCATGGCAAAGGCATAGTAATGAGCATATCATGCAAAGTGAACATGGCAATATGGGCAAATGATATATAATGGACAATAACCCATAACCAAGTGAGGGCCATGTAGAAGAAATGCGTGAAGACTTCGCGTGAAGAGAGCGGTGAGAAAGGCAATCCATGGGATCCCAAATCATATTTGCTCTCTAGAGCTCGTTTTGTCAACTCATGGGATTGTGAGGTTGACAAGTATTCATGGGTACCTACACAAAAGAGACATAAACCAAAGAAATTGTGCGCGTGGTAAATGTACACATCATCCATCATGATGTGTATGTGCACGTGTGAGTTAGCACAAGATAAGCATCGGTCAAAGAAATTTGATGCATGGTATAAGAACATGTCATCCATCATGAAAGAATAGTTATTGTGTATGACACGATGGGGATGCAAATTTAGCATACAAGTATATGGCACATCAATAGCATGTTTATTCATGGGAAGCATATGGTGCACACAAGTATTGGGATCGTGCAATGAATGGGATGAATCAAAATCTCCTAAAATGTATGAGGAAACTATGGGGGTCTCCTCATGAGCAATAATGGAAACATCATATGGAGAAAATGGACAACATCCAAAACAATGCATATCCGAAGCTAGGTGTTTATGGCATGGCATATGAGATAAATGATGCAAATGGAGAATATCAATATCATCAGAAGAAAAACAAATGCCAATAACCATGGGCTTGTCATCTATGCCATTAGTGCAAATTGGGTTATGATACGTCCATTTTGCATCATGCTTTTATATTGATATTTATTGCATTATGGGCTGTTATTACACATTATGTCACAATACTTATGCCTATTCTCTCTTATTTTACAAGGTTTACATAAAGAGGGAGAATGCCGACAGCTGGGATTCTGGGCTGGAAAAGGAGCAAATATTAGAGACCTATTCTGCACAACTCCAAAAGTCCTGAAACTTCACGGAAGGCAATTTCAGAATATATAATAAATATTGAGCGAAGAAGTTCACCATGGGGCCACACCTTGCCCACGAGGGTGGGGCGCGCGCCCCCTACCTCGTGGGCCCCC